TTTTTAAAAATGAATAGTGAATCTGAGTATTTTTCTTTTTGTGTATGTGCAAGTTGCTGTCATTTGTCACATTTTTAACAAAATGTTTTTTTCTTATTGATCTGTATGGCATCTTTAAATATGACAGTTGCTAATATTTTACCAGCTTGTCATATGTTAACTTCATTTAGTGATCTTTTGGCCACACAGAAGTTACTGGATTTTAATCTTTTTCTTTATTGTTTCTGCCTTTGTTACCATGGTTAGGAAAGCCTTTCCTATGCCAAGATTATAAAAATATTAATCCACATGTTCTTCTGGGTCTTTTGTGGATTTGTGTTTTATATTTTACATTTAATCCATCTGGAGGTTTTCTTGGCATAGCAGTTAGGCAAACTCCCCTAAAAATGTCTTTCTCTCCCAAATGTCTAGTCTTTTGTCATAACACCATTTATTGAATTATCTGTCCTTCCCTAACGTTTTGAAATGCCTGAGAAGAGGAGGAATAGTTATTTGGCAATTTTTCAAATCTACACTGCTGACAAAGACTTCCCTTTCGCCCTCACTCCACACCCTCCCTGCTGCTAAGTACATGCCTTAAGATACAGGTAGCGGTTGAGGACTGAGCCCCATTTAGGATATGGGCAAAACCTCATATCAGTCTAGAGAGAGTTGGGTCTCATCTGGGTCTCATTAACCTAACCCTAACAGCTTCCTCCCCCAATATCTGCCATTCAATACGTTCATTTTCCTGAGAGCGCTTAAGGGAATTTATTCAGATTTATGTGACAAATATGACTGTAGTCCTCCTTCACAGTCACCCTTCCCTACCAAAGCTCTGTCATCTACTTTCATGGCAGGATCCGATACTTTTCCTAATAGCTACAGATGTCCCTGACCTCAACAGAAACTAAGTGTCTTGGATCAACTTGGACTCTTGGCCTCTTGGCCTCTGCCGTGTGCCACCCAAGCTTTGAAAAATAAAAGTGTCTGTGGTCATTTTAAAAGTAAAAAAAAGAGAGAGGTGACTGTGCCCTGCCCCCCGGTACCCTCTATCCCTTTTTCCCTCTGACTCAGAATGAGTGACAGGAAGAGGCACCCTGGGGAGCTCTGCAGTGGTGCTAAGGGGACATGCAGGAGTGGCAAGCCAACTTTAGGACAGTTTGCACCTCACACTCTTGCTTGGACTTGGCTATGCAATTGTTGCTGAACCCAATTTGAGGAAGGCGGTGCATTCCACTAGACTGTCAGCTCCCTCCTTAGGAACAGGGAGCGTGTCTTCCTTACATTTGTGTCCCCAGGGTCAGCAGTCACCTGACACTTAAAATGGGCTCAACAGATAAATGTTGGATGAGATTATGAAACAATGTGTTATTAATAATATTAATTAATTTAGAAAACTACTTATTAACTACATGACGCTTTTACATATTGAGTGAAATTAAATTGTTTTGTTTTTTAACAAATGTGTGACTTTTGGGTAGCGAACAAGGACATGGGAAGAGGAAACATTCCTTATGAAGTCCTTCATTCAACAGGACAGATAAGTCTGAGAGGCAGTTTTGGAAGCAGGGATCGATCGGGAGAGATGTAACATTAGGCAGCAGAGCTTGAATGAGGCCAGGATCCTATTAAAAGCCTCCTGTTTAAACGAGGCTTAACACAATTTAGAGAGCCTTTATCTCGTGGATCTTCAAAAGCAACTATGGCCCCCTTCCATTATCACACAACAGGGCCAAGGACTTGAATGCTTGTGTTCTTGTCATTCTTCACAAAAGCCCCATCAAAGAGTGTTCTTGTCCCATGTCCTGAGTGATTTTCTGGACTTAAAATTTCTCACTTCTTCAATCACATCTTCAATCAAGAAGAAAAAGTTAATTTGTTACTCTAGGAAATACTGTTTGCTCTCCGTACTCCATAGAGCTCATGTAGAGGATTTTTTTTCTGCATTCAGTCACGTACTTTGCTCTGAAGTTGTAAGACAGGGGTTCTCCTAGCCTTGACCCAGGGTCCTGCTAAGGTGCTTTCACCAGGTTCCTGTCTCTGCCTATCACCTGGGTTCCCCACCAGGCAAGAAGCCTGTCCAGAGTCTGGCAGCTAGTCAGTGGTGGAGCCTACAAGCAAATTCAAGATAATTCTGAAACCCAGTGTCTCATCCCTTATTTCTGGTGAGAATTCTTATTAAATGGATCAGACAGGGGTTCCAAATTTTCTGTTCCCACAGTCTCTGTTTGAAATATTTGTTCCCTGATTCACAGCCCTGATTACCCAACACTTAGTCTTTGCTCATGCAGTACGTAGCTCAACACAGGAACTCTAAGCACCCAAGGTTTTATCATGAGATTTCTCCCCAAGTCGTTTCCTCCGCGACGCCCTGCAAAAACCCTGGATTCCCAATTTCCAGGGTCAGCGACTACACGATGCTGTCATTCCAAGTATTGCTCATCTGAGAGACTGTCTCAGTCTCAGCTCTACGTCCGCTTACAAGTCAGCGCTGTGAGGCCCCGGGCTCCCGGTCCAAGCAGGGTTACCTGAAGCCCCATCGCACGCCGGGACCCCCGGGACCCGAGCACAGGGCGCGCCGCCAAACTACATTTCCCACAGTGCTCCGGGAGGTCGGGGCTGCCGGCGCCTGGAACCCGGCGGGCGGTTTCGCGCGGAGGCTCCTGGGAGTTGTAGTCCGATCCCTTGGCGCCGGCGCTGGGGCGAGCTAGGCGCCGGCCTTTGTCTGTCTGCGGGCGCGCGCCGCTGCGGTGAGTGAGGCCGACCGCCGGGTCGGTGCGCCAGGGCGAGGCGGGGCTGAGCTGTCGGGCCACCGCCCCCGGGCTCTCCGTGCGGCCGCCTTGTGCCTGCGGCCCGGTGACAATGGCCCCGAGGAAGGCCGGCCGCGAGAGGAGAGGTCGGCGGCCCGCAGAGAAGGGTCCACTGAACGGGAGAGCGGCGTGCTGAGGTCCAGGACGCAGGGCGGGCTCCAGGGCCTGAGGCGGGAGGAAAGGGTCTGCGGAGAGAAGCCGGGCCCCTCGGACAGTCGCGCCCGCAGGGCGTGGGCGAAGGCCCTGCACCCGGGACGTGGGAGGGGGAGGCCACAGGCAGGTGCGCCCCCGGGGGCCGCCGTGAGGGTTTCAGGAGAGGGACAGGAAGACAGCGCAAGCTCTCCAGGAGGGAGACAAGAGACAGACCCCTCCAGGTGGAGAATGGGAGAAAGGAAAAACTGCAGTCGACTATGTCCCCACATATTACCCCTACCCAGAAGCTCTTAATCCTGAAACTATCCCCCAAGAGGTTCGTTACCAAAACGACAAAGTTTACCCCTCTTCTAGTCCTCTCCTGAGGACTTTCGATTTTAGGCCTTAAATCTGTAGGTCAGATCAGAGACCCTTCACATTTGGTTCTTTTATTCTCCCAGGAGCTACTTTATAAGACAGTGTGTTAATATATTTAGTAAATGAGTTGGCTGTGTGGTTACTTGCACAAGGTCATATACTGGGGGAGTGGTGACAAGAATCCAAGTTTCTTGGGGCCTAATTCTGACCTTTTCCAAAGGATTATCATAGTCTTTCTGAAAGAAAAAGCATTGTATTCCATTATAATGCCACTTTCCCCAAAATCTTCAGGAAATTGATTTCTCAGACCTGTGATCTAGGGAGAAATATATGACATTTTCCCCTTATTCATCAAGCAGATTCCTGAGACTCCACTGAGTTGTTACTTGTTGAAGAGCTGTAAATTCTACCCACTTGTTCTGACTCTACTGTGTTTTCTGGAATCCAGCAACAGGTGCCATGTAGTCTTCCACTGACTCAGTGCATGCAGTTGTTGAGCAGGAATACCTTGAACTTCCAAGGGATGTGCTGGCACTCTTTTGTAGTTTGTGTTCCAAGTTGGGAGCAAGTCCTTTTTTTAAAAAAAGTTTAAAACACCTCTCCTGGTCATCATAACATGTAGCAGAATGTGCAATTATCAAGAGGAACCAGCTGCTTATATTAACAAAGAATTGTTTTCATAAAATCAGGAGGCTAGGACAACCCCCTTGGGTCCTCTCCCACTGTAGGAGCTTTTCTGTCCTCTCAATAAATCCTGCTTTAAAAAAAATCAGGAGGCTAACATTTTGATAGGACATACTAGAAACAACTAAGATTATGCAGTGAATCACTGAATTTATTTATTTATTTTAGTGTAATACTTCAGTAATTAGGGTCTTGAAGAAGGAATTTTTTAAAAACAAAGTAGAAATGATAATGTGGAGCACATACAAGAGGATTCCTAGGACCTGGAAAAGCCGTACGATCTGGTCAAATTCTGTTTCATTTTATAAGAATTCTCACCAGCTCTTTAGTAATGAGGAACTAGAGAACCATCTGGTGTAAGGGTCCAAAAAGTCCTGGATTTGAACCTTTGCTCCTCCTTCACTCCTTACTGGCTGTGGGACTTTGGGCAGGTTATTTTAACCTAATTGGAATACCTTAGGCTTGGTTTTGAAGTTCAGAGTAGGTCTTCCTTTTCTAAAAACTGACAAACGTTTGCACACCTTCAGAACTGATGTTCTTATATTTCAGGAGTAGGAGAGGGGTGGGTCTTGGTCTGGAGCCACCTAAGAATAGTTAAAAGGTAACATGAAATCCCTGGATATGTCCTTATAGCCTATGAGAAACTGGAGAGGACAAGCGGAATATTTACAATATGGAACCAATTAGGAAATCTAAAATGTTGGTTTTTTAGACTCTGAATTCCTCTAGAGACTGAAGAATAAAATATCAGGTAGTTAGGTGGGGAACAGAAACTTAAGATCCTAATCATATGCCAAGACCAAAATCCAAATGAGTGACCATTCACTTGGGATTGGCAGGAAGAGATGTGTGTTTATGTGTTCTCTGCTTTCCAACCTCCTGTTTCCTCATGGACTTATTTGTGTGTGGTCCTGTTATCTTTGGGCCCATTTTTCAGTGACATTTTAGGTGACTGGCACTACATCAGGCAATTTAAGTTTCTTGCATTCACTTGTACCCCAAACTGGAGCTCCTGTTGACATTATCCTTCTTACTTATAAGTTCTCCCACCCTATTTGTTTTTGTTTGTTTTTCCCCTCAGGTGCTCAGGAACAGCCCATGGAAGAATCATCTGAAGAGGTGGTGACTGAAGTCATAAAACAGGAGTGGACATGTTTGGATTTCCAACAGCTACCCTGCTGGACTGTCATGGAAGATATGCCCAGAATGTAGCATTCTTCAGTGAGTGAGTTGGTTGATAGCTGAGATGCCCTCAGCTCATAGATATCCAGTGTTCCTATCCTCAGCACTGGTCAGCAGTCTGAGGAACCAGAGGGCCTTCCTTTGGTGGAGCTCACTGTTCCTGGGGATTATAGAAAATTCCAGCAAGCTGGAGTTAGAAATAATAGTATAAATAATCTTGATATGGAAGTACTCTTGAGGTAGTCTCTGAGAATTAATAAGCAGCCTAAATGTCAGCACTATAAAGATAAGGCAAGGGAACAAGGAGAAATTGCCCTAGGATGACAACAAGAAAACTGTCAGCAGTGATGAATGGACCCCTATTTAAAGTGTATTGGGAGACTCAGATACAGGGCAATATTAGAAAAAAAAATGTCAGTATCTACATAGGAAGAATACGAGAATAACTTCCCAACCAAAATGGATTTTAGTACCACCATAGTTTAGTAGACTGAAAATAGCATGGATTTTTAAAGGGAGAAATTCCTTGAATCAGATTCTATAATTGCCCTGGCTGGATCTGCAATATCAGACAAGTTGCTTAACTTCCTTAAGCTCCAAGCTCTTCATCTATGCAGTAGGACAATAAACTCTATCTTGTAGGGTTGCAGGGATTAGTGATGACAGATGTAAAGTAACAAGGATTTTGCTACTTATTTCCTGAGGTCATTGAGCCTACTCTACTGTCAAGAGAGCAAACTGGACAGAAGTAGATTTCTTATTAAGCTAATGCAACTTCACCACCTCTCACTTGCATTGGTCTCTTCAAGGCCCTATGCTTAATTGTATAGGTTCCCTGCATGACCTGGACCCATACCTTTTTTAGAATCAGAAAAAACTTGGGTATGGGTTTTTTTTGGGGGGGGGTCTCACTCTATCACCCAGGCTAGAGTGCAGTGGCACTTCCTGGCTTCAGGTGATCCTTCCTTTTCAGCCTTCCAAGTAACTGGGACTAAAGATGCATGCCACCACACCCGGTTAATTTATTTTTTGTAGATACAAGGTCTTACTATGTTGCCTGGACTGGTGTCAAACACCTAGGCTCAAACAGTCCTCCCACCTCAGCCTCCCAAAGTGCTGGGATTATAGATGTGAACCACCACACCCAGCTGGGTATCAGGCTTCATATGATCTTGTACAGTTTTCTTAATTTTCTGAGCCTGTTTTCTTACCTGTAAAATACAGTTATTTCTACTTCACAAAGTTATTTGGGAGTCTAAATTAAACTTAGAGGTAGTACAGTGCTGTGAAGCATGCCTGTGTTTGAACCCCAACTCTAACTTACCTAGCTGAGTGACCTTTGACAGCCTCCTTATGATCTCACTATCAGTATCAATCTCATGGAAATGTTTTTACATTACATTGCCTATGCGGCAAAGTTCATAGTATAATGCCTGGCACATAATAAGCACCCAAAGTACTATGGTTTTTTTTTAATCCTATTCTTCACACCCAGCATATTGGTGCATCTTACCTGACTTCTCTCTCATTTTACTAGATGTGATGACTGAAGCCCACCACAAGTATGACAATTCTGAGGCCACAGGATCCTCCAGCTGGGATTTTCAGAATTCTTTCAGAAGAGAGAAGCTGGAACAAAAATCCCCAGATTCTAAGACACTACAGGAAGATTCACCTGGAGTAAGGCAGAGAGTCTATGAGTGCCAGGAGTGTGGAAAATCCTTCCGGCAAAAAGGTAGTCTAACATTACATGAGAGAATTCATACTGGTCAAAAGCCTTTTGAGTGTACCCACTGTGGAAAAAGCTTCAGGGCCAAAGGTAATCTTGTTACACATCAGCGGATACACACAGGAGAGAAGCCCTATCAATGCAAGGAGTGTGGGAAAAGCTTCAGTCAGCGAGGTAGTCTGGCTGTCCATGAGAGACTCCACACTGGACAGAAACCCTACGAGTGTGCTATTTGTCAGAGAAGCTTCAGGAATCAAAGTAACCTTGCTGTTCACAGAAGAGTTCACAGTGGTGAGAAGCCCTATAGATGTGATCAATGTGGAAAAGCCTTCAGTCAGAAAGGAAGCTTAATTGTTCACATCAGAGTTCACACGGGCCTGAAGCCTTATGCCTGTACCCAGTGCAGGAAGAGTTTCCACACTAGAGGAAATTGTATTCTGCATGGCAAAATCCACACAGGAGAGACGCCCTATCTTTGCGGCCAATGTGGAAAAAGCTTCACTCAGAGAGGGAGTCTGGCTGTACACCAGCGAAGCTGCTCACAAAGGCTCACCCTTTGACCACTTTCTTCAAAAAGTTCTCTTTATGAATCAAAAGTACAGAATCTTCTGAGACCAAGCAACCTATCCAATTCTGTGGAATGAATGAAGAATCTTTCAGAAAGACCACCATTGGGTAGGGCAAACTGACTTTTTTTCCTCCCAAATGAGTATGAAAAATAAATGTCTTGTTTATTATCATTATCACATGTTTCATCATTTCTATTTATTTATATCTGACTTCCAAGATACTCTCATTAATCTAATGCCACACTAAAGATTGTTCTGTGTGTAGTACATACAGATTTTTAAATTTGTGATTGACACCATCAGTTTTTTTTTTTTTTTTTTTGAATTGGGGTTTCACTGTGTCACCGAGGCTGGAGTACAGTGGCACAATCAAGGCTCACAACAGCCTCAACTTCCTGGGCTCAGGCAGTCCTTCAACCTCAGCCTCCCAAGTAGCTAGGACTACTGGCTAATTTTTTTATATTTTGTAGAGCCCTGCCTTAGCCTCTCTAATTGCTGAGATTACAGGAGTGAGCCACTGTGCCCAGCAGCTTTTTTTTTTTTAAATCCGGCCCTTATTAATCCCACATTTCTTTTATTCCCTACATAATCAAATTAATCTTGCTTTGTATTCAAGATGGCAGAATCCATGGGACAAATCTAATTAACAATCTTGTTAATAAATATTTTATTTCCTAGATAATACTCCCAATAACCTATTCTAACAAACTACTCATGTTCATAGCAAAGGGCCTAGCCTTTTCTTACAAAAGAAGATTCTTTTCCAAGCCTGCAAATGTTTGGAGTTTGTTCATTGAGCTGTACTTCAGTCTTCCATGCTAATTAGGATATAGCCAAAGAACAGATGACTGCAAATTTTTAAGAATAGTGAGCCTATATCATGCCCTCTATTAATGGGACTTCTACTTCCTGACAGACACAATAACCTTCACTCCTTATTTGGCAACAGGAGCAGTATCCTAGAGTTGAAGTCACCTAAAAAGGACGTTTCCTTACTACTGATCTCAAATTGTAGTTTGCAGTCAATAATGAAATTCCACTCTCCAGCAATACACTATGCTCTTCCTCCTACACACACAGAAAAAATAAATAAATTTGGAAAGACAGCCCACTCCATACTTATGTGGCAGGGGAAATACCATGATCACGAAGTTGGTTTTCCCAGGGTGAGGCTTATTTATTGTACTCTGGAAGTGCTGACCCCTGCAATTGCCCCAAATGTGGGAAACGCGACTGCAACTTGTAGTGGTAAGAGACTGTATGCTCTCTCCTGGCGAAATTATTTTTAAATGTTAAAAAATAAAAATAACCCATTAATTTTTTTAAGCTATAGAAAATGAGATTTGAAAAAGGTTGGCACAAAGAAATTGGTTTTGAGGGGAAATTTCCATTTTTAAAAATCTTAGCCATCTCTAATTTTTCATGCTAAAATTGAAATGATGAATTGTTTAGATTGTGGTTTTCTTGATAAGACGACAGCCTAAGAGGGAAAAAAAATTTCCCTGAGTTATGGAAAGGAGTGTGGGGAGAAAGATACCATTCCATTCTTTCTAGTAGATCTTATAAACTTGAGCATCCTTAATCCCCAAAAGCTTATGATAACAAAGATATATCATCTAGAAAAGTAAATTTATTTAAGCATTGAAACAGTTTGAAACACTTTGGATATTAATGATAAGGAAATATTACTCCCAAAGATACAATAACAACTGAAGATGTATACAAGAATGTTCAAACCATCCTCATTCTTGTATACATCTTCAATTGTTATTGTATCTTGTTATTGTATCTAATTGTTATTGTATATTGTTATTGTATCTAATATCCAATAATAAGGAAATATTACTTCCAAAGATACAATAACAATTGAAGATGTATACAAGAATGTTCAAACCATTCTCATTCTTAAGACCCACTCTGAAAATAAACATCCAATAACAAGTGAGGGATAAAAAAATTGTGGTATACTCATACAATAAAATTCAACTCAGCAATAAAGAACAAACTGATACATGTAACAATGGATGAATCTGAAAGCCTTGAGTGAAAGAAGCCAAATACACAGAGACACACAAATAGAGAGTATAATTCCATTTATGTACCTCACAGAACAAAAAACTATGTGTGAGGATTGACTTGAATGGGACACAAGGGAATTTTATAGAGTGAAAAATGTTTAATACCTTACATAAGGTGGTAAATGCATGGGTCTAAACAATTATCAAAATTCATTGAATTCAACAATTAAGAGCTGTGCATTTTATTATATGTAAAATATACCCAAATAACCAAGAACCAGTATAAGAATATCACCCACAAGTTCTTTGGCACTCATCCTATGAAGAGATGTGGTCTATGTCATTCTCCTTGATTCAAAACAGGCTAGAGCACAACAGAAGGATGCTACACCAAAGACAGTTCTAAAAAGTCCTTAGAAGACCTGACAGAGAAGGAAAGGTTCTCCAGTCCCCACATTGGGAGCCAAGCCCTTTTTAACTAATTAATTAATTAAAATATCTGAAACGTTTCTGCCTGATTCTCATGGGACATTTGCTTTAGGGGAAACCAGCCACAATGTAAAATGTCCAATTATCCTGAAAACACTATAATAGACAAGCCGTATATGAGTGCTCCAGGTGACAGGTTCAGCTGAGCTCCCAACCAAAAGCCAGCATAAACTCCCAGCCATGTCAGTGAGTCCAGGTTCAGCCCAGTAGAAACTTAAGATGACTGTAGCCCCAGCCTGACATCTGGCCAAAACTACATGAGAGATCCCAAAGTGAGACTGCCTTACTTAATTCCTATCACACAAAATCATGAGAAAAATGAAACATTATGGTTGTATATCACTGAATTTTCAGGTCATTTGTTATGTGGCAATAATAGAACAAAGTATAAGCTATTGTAAAAAAAGAAAAGTTCTGGGGAAGCAACTTGATATTATCTGGTTAAATCAAAACAGGAAATTATCATTTAGGATTCACCAGAAAGCTTAAAGTTTCAAAATAAACATTCTCTTTGACAAAATAAGAGGCACGGTATAGATTAGTTAACCCAGATCCAATCCAAGCTATAAAATGAAGTAGACACTGGATTCCAGCAGTCTCGCACTATAAGGAATGTATTTTAAAATATGCATATGTATATTTATAATTTTAGAATCCCAGAAATATATATCTATAAAATCTCAGTATCATAGTTTGCAAAAAGGAATTAATAAATAAGGAGTAAATAAGCCAGAAAATATATAACTGACCACTGGTGATTAAGTTAACCTTCAATCCCTCATTCCTCCCTGGAGGTTGAAGAATTCCGGGCACTGGAAGTCCCAACTTTCTAATCCTGCCTTGGTCTTTATGGTGACCAGCCCCATCCTGAACCTCTCTAGGGATCCCTGGCATCAGTCATCTCACTAGCACAAAAAAGACACTCTTGTCAAGAGAGTCCAAGGGTTTTAGGAGCTGTATGTCAGGAAATGGAGGCAAAGACCAAATATATATATTTCACAATATCATAGGTCCCAAATATATAAAGCAAAAATTGAGAGAACACAGGAAATGCAGATACCACCTAAATAATAGTTGGAGATGTTGACACTCCTCTCTCAATAACTGGTCAAATAGAAAAAAAAATCTATGAGGATATGGAAGAATTAAGCAGCACTATCAACTAACTTGATGCATTAATATTATGGGACACTAAATTCATCAAAAGCAGCATATACATTCCTCTCAAGTACACATGCAACCTTCACCAAAATAGATGATATACAGGGCCACAAAGTTTAAAAAACCTACATTTAAATTATTCAGAGCATATTCTCTGGCCACTACAGCATTAAATCAGAAGTCAATAATAAAATATGTGGAAAGTCCTCCAACTGTTTGAAGATTAAACTATACACTTCTAAATAACCCATAATTCAAAGATTCACAAAATCAGAAAATATTTTGAACTGAGTGATAACAAAAATACATGTCAAAGTTTGGGGGAAATAGATAAAGAGGCTTTTAGAGGAACTGTAGCTTTAAAATGCCTAGACTAGAAAAGAAAAAAAGAATAAAATTACTGATCTGTTACCTAATTAAGAAGCTAGAGAAAAAAAGTTAATCAAAACCAAAGTTAAAATAAAACAAATCATAATAGAAGAAATCAATGAAAATGAATATCAGAAAAGCAGAAGTTAGCTCTTTGAAAGAATTAATGAAACTGATAAACTAGCAAGACTAATTTAAAACAGAAACACAAATTGCAAATATCAGGAATATAACAGAAGACATCATTGCAAATTACATAGATATTAAAGGGATAATGAAGGTATACATAAACAATGTTACATCAATAAATTCAACAACATAAATGAAATAAACAAATTCTTTAAAAGACATAACTTGCCAAACTAACACAGGAAGAAATACAAAATCCAGGTAGCCCTATGTCCATTAAAGAAATTCAAATACCTTACACAAAGGAAACTCCAGGACAAAATTGCTTTACTGAGAAAGCCTATCAAACATTTTAATAAAAATAATATAATTCCTACACATTTTTTTCAGAAAGTAAGAGCATATGTCCCAAATTGTTGTGTAAAGTCAGTATTACTCTGACCCTGAAATGAAAGACATCACAGAAAAACTATAGATCAACAACCCTCATGAACATAGACACAAAAATACTTAATATCTTAGTAAATTGAATCCAACAATATATTAAAAACATAATACCTCATGATAAAGTGTGGTTTGCAAAATTAATGTGCCTTGGAAAAATCTAGTTTTCCACCAATACAGCATCATATTTACTGTACTTCAAAGTAAAGACCCAAATCTATTTCATTTACCTGGTATTTCCACAATTAAGGAAATGTATATATGTAAGAGTATGTACGTATGTGTATGTATATAGCTTACCTTCACTATTCATGCATCCATATTTGCAAACACTTGCTAAATTTTATTTGTAACCCCAAAATCAATACTCAATGCAGACAGCAACAAATTTTATTTGTAACCCCAAAAGCAATACTCAATGCAGACAGCAACAAATTTGAGTCATACAATTTCAGCTAAGATCAAAGTGTCATTCTGCCCTCTTGTTTCAGTTCTCATACTGTAAACAATTGTCCTTTTCACAATATATTTAGTGCCATGTTTTTCACAGATTTGTGCTTTTTGT